TTTGTAATGAAAAAAGGAAATCCTTATTTCCCCCTTATTTTCAAAAGTGACACAAACATCTTATAGAAAGTTCCAGCATCCTATATGATGTGCAGTTACGGTAACCCATGGTTCCTCTTCCCACAGAGGTCACTCCTGTTGACAGTATGGTTCACATGCCACCGTCATCTTTTTATGAAACCCTAAAATATAGTGCTTTGATTTTGTTATTTTTCTCCCTAACACAAAATACCAAAGGCACTCCTAAAAATTTTTACCACGCCTTGATTTTCCCTTTTCAGCAAGTACATTTTTAAGAGCGTTTTGCTGTTGTGTGGGTGCGCTGTTGTTTCTAGGGCTCTTTTTTGCTTGACGGACAACGTTGTGCTCAAGGTTTTGGTCCCTCCCTCTTTCAATACTTCTTCAAAGACTTCCTGTGGGGTAAATTGCTAGAAATGAAATTGCTGTCTTACAGGATGTGAGTGCTTAAAACTCTAACTGACATTGAAAACTGCCCTCCAAATCAGGTGCGTTGACGTCCTGCAGTGAACTGGCGTGTCCCCCAGCCCCTCCCTGGCACCCGGTCACTGTCTCGGCTGTGATCTTTACCTCGAGAGGTCGGTTAGCAAACTCATCACCAGAGCTCTGCACACATTTTCCCAGCTGGGAGGAAAGACAGAGAAGACGCCAGTGCCAATGGGTTCCCTCTGTTTCAGAAAGTGGGGAAACGAGGTGTTCTTGAAGAGAGTGTAAGCTTTAGCGCCAGACAGAGCTGGGCTGGCTCTAGACCCTTCTACCAGAGTGCACGCAGCAGATTAAACAGCCATTGTGTGCCAGGCCCTGGGGATGTGGGAGAGGATAGGACCGTCACGACCGCTGCCCAGGTGAGGCCTCCACTTTGCTGTGACCGGACACAGTGATTCTGCCTCTGAGCCTCTCTCATACCAGCCGTGATTATGCAACAGAATCTGACTTAGTTTAGTGGTCAGAGTGAATGATAACATATATGGAAAGTGCTCTTGTTAAATTATGACGTAATGCCATCTGGGAGGCTTCATTAATTTGTAGCCTCAGTCCTCTATTCTTGCAAATGTGAGCATCTGACTTTATTTGACGAAGCTGTAAAAATAGGCATTGCTTTGGCATAACTGAGATGGAATTAAATTTGAAGATCACTCTTGTCTCACCACAGGTTGATTTGTAGACCTTAGTTAATTATCTTCAGTATATTTCAAGGTCTCTTGGGGAGGGTTTCAACTAAATGCTACCCTAGTTGCAGGTAGATATGCTCAGTATTTAATCAATAGATTTAAGCTGTATTCCCATTGCCAAGCGTTCTTTTAATATTTTATAGCATAAATTATAAAATAGTTATGAAAGAGACTTTTTGCATGACGATTTTGCTTTCTAAAATATAGACGCAAACTTTTGGGTTATGTTATTATAACAGTTAGGTTCCCACACAAATATGATACAGCCTTATTACATAGAAAATTTTAGAAGTCTGGAAAACTGTAAGGAAAAAACAATCATTTGTGATCGCACCACCCTAAGATAACCACTGTTAATATTTTGAATGTAATTTCCTTCCAGCCTCATTCAGCCTGTATATCTCAAAAAAATTGAGCTTATAATTTTATATGCAATTTCGTATCTTGCTTTTAATAACTGAACACGTGATACTTATTTCCCTTTGTTACTCAAATTATTCACGAACTCTGTTTTATAGTGGCATGCTGTAATATCATGAAGATATCCTGTGACCTGCTCAGCTCTCCGCGTTACAGCCAATGAGATCTTTGTAAAATGTCCATTTGCTTGCACCCTTTAAGGCCTCACACTGCTTTTGGAGGACTTGGCCTCCAGGGTCTTCCAGGCTGCTGCCTCTGCAGCTGGGTCCCCTCCTGTGCTCCCGCTGCTTGTCTGGGCTCCAGCCTCTGCTTCGGCCATCTGGGTCCTTTTGATTTCCTTGATCTCTCCTTGCAGGTGCCTCTTCCTCTTCCTGGATGCCTCTCCTCCCCTGGCTTGGTTAACTCCTGTTCCTTCTTCAGCTACCTGCTCAAATGTCCAGTCTTCAGGGCGGCCTGTCCCGCCCCCTAGACAGATGAGTCTGCCCTGACCTGGGCTCTTAGAGCATCCTGCCTTGTTCCATCACAGCAGGGGCTGGTGGGCATATCTGCCCATTTATTTGGTTATTAGGCTGGCCCACCACTAGAAGGTGAGCTCTGGGAGAGCATGAGTTGTGTTTGTTTTTGTCGCCATTGTGTCCCCAGTGCCTAGAATACTTTTTCATATGAATGAATCAATGAGTGAAAAAAAAAATTGTGCAAACAAACTAGTTCCCTGTGTTGGAACCTTCAAGCGGCTTTCCAGTCTTAACTATTGTGAAAAGTTGGGGCTTGAGCACCTCCATTCGAACTTTGTATTGTTTCTTTTGATGGATTCCCAGCAGTGGAATAACTGGATCAAAGGGTCTGATCTTTTAAAGCTCTGCCCAAATGCTTTCTATAATGCAGCAGGTGAGAGCACCTCTCTCACTGAGTGGGGACGTTCGCAGTGAAGTAACAGAATAGGAACCACAGGACGTCGCGGCTCTCCCGCAGCTCCCAGGCACAGGCCAGCAACTGAGGTTCAGATGCATCACCTGTGGCAGGAAGTGGCACTGAGGGCTTTGCCAGGTATTTGTGTAATAATACAAAAAAATCAGAGGGAAGGATTCTCCTAAGACCATTCAGAACTTGCATTAGAGGCGGAAACGCTGTGGTGAGTGGTTTATTTAATTAACATTCTGAATCTAGAGTTCCTTCCTCCAGTGAAATGTATCACCTTCTAGATTTGTCATCTGAGGAAGATCCAGATTAGTTTCCTTAAATTAGCCTTGGGTTTAGCATGCAGGCAGGGTACCGACTTTCAGATTTGAATATTTTAATTACATCATGAGAATTGTACCCTCTGGTGTTTATGGCCCTCAATTCATTTAAATATTTTAAATTTAAACACAAGGCAACCTGTGTTGATCAAACATTGCTGAATGGATGGTTCCATAAATACAGGCTTCACAGTTACAGTTGGTCCAGGTTCATGGTGTCTGATTAACGGTCCTAAATGATGATTAGTGTTTCTGAGGACCTACCTGGATAACCTGGGCAGAGTCCAGAGGGAGTGGTTATGGACAGAGGAAGCCTCACCTGCCTCCTGGGCTCACCTGCCAATTCCTGTCCCCAGTGCAAGTTGCAGTACTTTGGTGACTGTCATTTGTTGATTCCACAAACAAGGCACACCTGTTCCAACAGCACTGGGAGCTCCACTCAGAAGGCCTGATTCACTTGTACACTGAGGGGTGGTGTTCACGGTCATGCCAGGCAGTGTGAGCTTGCAGAAGAATGTGCGGGCTCTAGAGAAAGGCAGTCTGTTTGGGTTCAGATTCTGGCTTTATCACTTACTGTGTGACCTTGGGTAAATACTCAGTTTTCTCATCTGTAGAATGGGCATAATGATAGGGCTGAGATTAAACACCTAGTGAAGAGTTTCGCATGTCATAAGTTCTCAGTAAGTGTACCTGTTATTACAGTTACCATCTTATTCAGCACACACGCTGCTGGACTGAGAACGAAAGGATCCGTGAAGCAGACCACGCTTTTCTTCTCCATCACGTGCAGAACAGCTCACACAGTGCCTGAGACATACAGGCGAGTGTTAGTAAAATGAGAGTCATTTATTAATTAGTGATGTAGGAGTTTAATAAATGACAATTGAACAACCACCTTACTTTCCCTGTCTGAATTCTAAACCAACCATGATGGAGGAGGAGGCAGGTGGAGGCTCAGACAGCAGGTGCGTGACTGGTGGAGCCGTGGGAGGGAGAGCCCGGGGCAGCTGGACACTGAGCTCCTGCTGACTGTACTGCAGGGCTTGGCAGCCTGGCCCGCTCCCCGTCCTGCAGTCCCTGACCGCAGCTGGCCAGACTCATGGGGGCCACCGGGCTAGGTGTCTGCTGTATCACATGTTGTCCAAAGGTAGGCATGTCTTCACCAGGAGGGGAGAGGCGAGCTCAGCTATGAAGGCTAGGTCCTGCTCCAAACTCGCTGGTCAGATACACCCACTCACTTTTCCTGGGGAGAAGTGAGGGCAAGGACAGAGGCCAGGGGTCTTTTGATAATAAGTGGACCTCACATGGAAACTTGCAGAGAAAGAGTGTTACCCCAATATATGATTGAATGAATAGGCAAGGCTGGATTATCAAAACTTATTGAATAAACCCAAATGGATTGTCTCTTGTCTCATGGAGCAGACTGAGTTCATTCCAGTAAGACTGGTCCTGTTAAAATACCCTGGAATACATCCAGGTCAGCTTTGGGACACCACTGGTGACCGTGTACCTTGTGAATGACACAGCCCTCTTCCCTCTCTTGCCTCCCTCTTCTTGGTGCGGCATCTCTCAGCCCAGACTCTCCCCTTCCCAGCTACTTTCATCCAGGTTAGGGGTCCCTTTCTCTTTTCACCTGCACATACTCCTGTCACCACTTATGCACTGTCATGTGGCGAGGTGCTGGCCTGTCCCCTCCCCCACTCCCCCAAGGCTGTGAGCTGCTGAGGAACAGGGACCCAGCCACTCTTCCATCCTCGTGTGTGCCTGGACCACATGAGGTCCTCGGGCCCTACTTGATGAATGAGTGCATCCATCCATCCTCAGCCCTGTTTAGCTCCCTTTTCAGCCTTTGCCGTTTGCACGGGGAAGGTTTAGAGTCTGCGGCGGTAACCGTGCTGTCGTCTGTTTCCAGGCTAGGGCCCACCCAGCTCAAGATCTTCACTTGTGAGTACTGCAACAAGGTCTTCAAGTTCAAGCACTCGCTGCAGGCGCACCTGAGGATCCACACCAACGAGAAGCCCTACAAGTGCTCCCAGTGCAGCTATGCCAGCGCCATCAAGGCCAACCTCAACGTGCACCTGCGCAAGCACACGGGCGAGAAGTTCGCCTGCGACTACTGCTCCTTCACCTGCCTGAGCAAAGGCCACCTGAAGGTGCACATCGAGCGCGTGCACAAGAAAATCAAGCAGCACTGCCGCTTCTGCAAGAAGAAGTACTCGGACGTCAAGAACCTCATCAAGCACATCCGCGGTGCGCACGACCCGCAGGACGGGAAGGTCAAGGAGGCCCTGGACGAGCTGTGCCTGATGACCAGGGAGGGCAAGCGGCAGCTGCTCTACGACTGCCACGTCTGCGAGCGCAAGTTCAAGAACGAGCTGGACCGCGACCGCCACATGCTGGTCCACGGTGACAAGTGGCCCTTCGCCTGCGAGCTCTGTGGCCACGGGGCCACCAAGTACCAGGCGCTGGAGCTGCACGTCAGGAAACACCCGTTCGTCTACGTGTGCGCCATCTGCCTCAAGAAGTTCGTCAGCTCCATCCGGCTGCGCTCGCACATCAAGGAGGCGCACGGGGCAGCGCAGGAGACCTTGGTCTTCACCAGCTCCATCAACCAGAGCTTCTGCCTCCTGGAGCCTGGCGGGGACATCCAGCAGGAGGCCCTTGGGGGGCAGCTGCAGCTGGCAGAAGAGGAGTTTGTGTTCCAGGGGGTGAACGCATCTAAGGAGGCGGCCTGCCCTGGGGACGCTCGGGCCGGGGAGGGGCGGGGGACGCCGGAGACCCCCGTGGAAGTGCCTGCCCCGCCGGTGCGCTCGGCCGCCGCCCAGCTCCCCTGTGAGCTGGCCGCCTCCGAGGGGGCCTCGGACCTTCATCCGCAGTCGGAGGCTTCGGATGAGTTCTTGTTGAAAAACGATGCCTCTTCCGCGGAGGCTCCGGCGAAGACCTGGGACGCCCAGCAGGGAGGCTCCGCCCCGCCCCAGGGCGAGGACGTCACACCGCTGCTGCCCAAGGCCAAAGGTGAAGCAGACCCAGAGGCCCAGGGTGCTGAGAGCCCCCCGGCCGAAGGACAGAAAGTGGCTGCCCTCCCATCCGCTGGCCCAGATCCCAGCCGGTGTCTCAGGTCGAACCCAGCGGAGGCCTCAGACCTTCCCCTGGGCGCTGGAGGGCGGGACGCGGCCCTGTGCCAGCCTGACTCCTGCGCGCCTGCCCCCGAGCACCGGGCCGGCATCACTGCGTTCATGAGGATCCTGGACAGTTTACAGAAGCGGCGCATGAACCCCGGCCTGTGCGAGAGGATCCGGAAGGTGTATGGAGACCTGGAGTGTGAATACTGTGGTAAGGGGCGGCGGCTCGGGGCTGCAGCCGGGCGGAGCTCTCCTTCCCGGCGGCCCCACCCATCCCCGCCTGGCTGGGGGTCACCGCGTGTTTGATTTGAGCGCGTGTCTCTTGGCAAAAACACCTTCTAAGTGAGCTAGCCCTCATTTGTAGATAGCAACGGGTGGCCACCGTGGTGCAGTTTAGTGCGTGAAGGCTTTTGAGAAGGCAGCCGGGATGGCGGGGCAGCCCACCGTGCCGGCTTGGTCAGGCATGCATGCGGAGGTTTACCCCACGGCCTCGGCCAGAACGCTGTTAACCAAGAGGAAGCTTCCTTCTGGCACGTGACAAGTTTGAAGTAGAGCTGTACGTTGTGGCCATGTTCTAGACGAGCAGAGAAGAGGTCACAAAAGGGGCTGCAGCTCTTTGTAGGGAGACCCTGAATCCAGCCCTTCCAGCTCCCGGTGAGAGCACGGCCCCTGGGTCTCCTGGTGAGCTGGCAGGACCGGAAGTAGCTGTCCCAGGTGTCAGCAGAATTTAGCACCTCTTTGATTTTACGCAGATGCATAATAGCATTTGGCACCATAAATGGTCCCCAGTAAACGTTTCTTTCCTCCTCTCTTAGTTCTGACGTCATGCAAAAGTAGTAGCACCCTTAATATTTACAGCCTCCCACCTTGGAAAAGTAATTTCCAGACAGAGATGTGGTGGAAAGTGTGAAGGGTGACCCGGACGAGCAGGAGAGGGAGATAAATATAGTAGTTAAAAAAATAATGAAAAAAAATCAAATTCAGGATAAAAGAAACTTCCTTGTTCTCATGTGAAAATATTTTTTTAGGCAAACTTTTTTGGTACCAAGTGCATTTTGACATGCATGTCCGCACCCACACCCGGGAACATCTGTATTATTGCTCCCAGTGTCATTATTCCTCCATCACCAAAAACTGCCTTAAACGCCATGTAATTCAGAAACACAGTAACATCTTGCTGAAGTGTCCCACTGACGGCTGTGACTACTCGACTCCAGATAAATATAAGCTGCAGGCACATCTTAAAGTTCACACAGAGCTGGTAAGTAGCAAGCCCGAGCGGCAGCCCCGTCTCCCCTGGGTGCTCCTTGCTTTCTCGCATTGATGCCTATGGAGGTGTCCCTGCTTCCTGTGAACACAGTGTGTGAGCGTCCAACCCGGAAGACGGAGAGGTCCTTCTCACAAAGCAGGCCCTTCACCTAACGAATGCCTTCATCCCAGGGTTCCCTTCGCAGGGAGAGTCTCAAATATGGTGGAAAAAAGATTAAGGTTGAGTAAATTTGCTTTCTGGGCAAATTTTTCAGCATGGGAGAAGGTCTCCAGAAGAAAGATCTACAGAATGGAAATAAAGCAAGGGTTTCTTAAATGACATTTTATTTTATTTTATTTTACTTTTTTCATGGAGGGACTGGGGATTAAACCCAGGACCTTGTGCATGCTAAGCATGTGCTCTACCGCTGAGCTATACCCTTCCCCCTTAAATGACATTTTAAAAAACTATTAATAACAGGGATGACAATAATAGTAGCTGCCACTAAAAGTTGTTGAGAGATTAAGCTAGGTAATGCCTGTGGAGAGCTCGGCACGGCGTCTGGGTCACAGTGAGAGCACTGTAAATGTTGATGGTCACTATTGTCGTATTATTGTGTTATGTGTTGGAAACTCAGAATTCTGCAGGGCCCTTTTATTAGAAAAGAAGTGATATGTTAATTCAAGGTTCTGTTAATATTCATTTGTTTAATTCTTTCGTGGGTGATCATGTAACACAATGGATGAAAGTTATTTTAGCACATTCTCCTCTAACTTGAGAGGCTGACACCTGAGAGTGATTTGAGACTCTCAGAGTTATAAAGGTGGCACACCTGGCCCCAGGGGCGGTTCTGGTTTAATTGAATTCCATTTTACGCCACAGACAGCACAAAATGCAGCTTCAGAAACTTGACGTGCTCCCTCCGTTTTCTGGCCTACAAATCGCTAACGCTCCAGCAGTTTGTTACCAAGGGCGAAGGCAGGGTGTTTGGGTTTAGTGGGTAGGCAAGAGCACATGCACTGTGGGGTTAGATACCTGCATTCAAATCCTGTCCCCAGTATTTACACATCTTGTGTGATGTCGGACAAGTCACTTGTCCTTTCTGAGACTTGCTAGCCTTCTGTAAAAATGTATATATTAAAAATGTGTATCTTTTTTATACACACTCCCATACACATGTATATGTACACATTATGCACAGATACATCCACATGTATCCACACATGCGTTATAAACACCCACAGGTGTACACACAGGTACCACACACACCTCTAGACACATAATACACGTGTGCATGCGTGTGTCTGTGGATCTCAGGTAAAGAGCTTGGCTCAGTGCTCGTACAGCTGACTGGAGCAGCCGCTGTCGGTCACCCGGTACCTCCTAGGACGTGTTCCGTGCCTTCCCTGTCTGTGCGTGGGGGCATGAAGGCGGGTCATTCCTGTCTACTTTGGAATTGCAGTTCAGGTGATACGGCTTTCAGTATTCTCATGGGCAGGGAACACTGAGGTGGCAGAAACCATTACCGTGACCTCGCCAGAAACTCTTATGAAATCCAGAGGGGGTGAAGCCAACCTGGGAACAGGGCTCTCGGGGCCAGTGTTGGAGCGTAGCGGTTGAGACCAGGTTTCAACCGTGGTTCTCCCGTTTACCACGTGTTTGGCCTCAAGAGGAGTCACAGAACTGCTGCTGTGTGCCTCAGTTTCCCCATCCTCAGGTGAGGACTAGGTGAGGGAACGTAAGTTAGTGTCTCAGAACAGGGCCTGACATGGAGCATGCACTTTATATCTTTGACTGCGAGAATTACCATTATTTATCCCTTATCATTTCTGGACCTTGTTGCTCTGGGTTTAGAGATTATGAAATGTGAGCTAAAGCCTGGCGTGGACGAGGAAGCTGTGAAAGAGCTTTATAATCGGGGGTCACACTCAGCTCCTTCGTGCCCACTGTGGGTGTCAGAGATGCAAGGTCCAGCTCAGGTACCGTCTTGCCCTTGGGTGCTGAAGCTCGCCTTCCTGGCTGCATCCCTGGGCCTCACAGTCAACAGGGGAGCGTCGGGAACATACTCTGAGATCTTTGACCCCAGTTTCACATGCTTTCATTTTTCTTGATACACTGGCATTTAAAGAAGCTTCTCTTTTCAACCTTGCTTGGTTTTGATCTTCCTTTGAAGAGGCTTCTCTCTTCAGCACTGACACTCGAGAAGGCACCTGGAGGAGTATCAGTTGCTGTTTGCATCCTGTGGTCCAGGCCCCACATGACCTTACTGAATTCTCATACTACCTCCAGGAGGTGGGGACTGCGTTGCCCACTGGGGAGACTGGGAGCCTGCTGTCCCAGAGTCATTTGTAACTTGCCCACATTCCCACTGTTGGAAGAGTCGCAGATGGGATTCAAGCCCCGTGCCCATCATAATTCCCTGACTCTCAGCAACCATTTCTTGGCTAAAGATACACCTAATGATGGGGAGGCGTGTGCATCTAACACAGCGCCCCCCACCCCCCTCCCAGTAGTAACCAGATGGTGTGACTACAGTCAGGGATGTACTGGCATCAAGGAAATGTGCGGACCGAGTCAAGGGAGTTAGTCAGTGACATTTCTGGAGCAAATCCACTTTTTATAGCGCTGTGCAAGCTTTGTGAAAGGGAGACTTGAGAAGCCACGGTTTTGTACAACAAAAGGGGGCTTCAGGTTCTTACATGTTAGAGTTCAGACCCCTTATCCACCTCTGTGATCTTGGGCAAATTGCTTAGCCTCCCTGAACCTCAGTTTTTCTCATCTGTAAAATGGAGATATGGTACTTTCTCCTCCCTCTCAGGACTGTGAGGATTAAATTAGCAATTAAGTAGAGCACACCCAGGTCAGTGTTTTTTCAGTCCCCAGGTCATGGTCCATGGGTTGTGAAATTAGTTTAGTGGATTACAACTAGGATATCTCAAAAATGGAATGGAATAGAATGAAATAGAAATTTTCAGCACTGTTTACCCATAACAAGGTAGTAAGTATCGTCTTCTGAGTCCTTTGTTTCCGTGTTTCAATGTGTTTGTATGTCAGTGTGTGTTCATGTATGTTCTGGGTGGCGAAGTCAAGTGGGTGGCCTCCGTGGGGCCCGTAAAATAAGTTTGTAAGTCACTGACCCTGATGATGTAATTTATGACATCTTGACTCAGAATTACTTGGGGGTAATTGTTATGAATGCAATTCCCCGCTCAGACCTCCACCATACTTTGTCAGGGGTGGGGGGGGGCCTGGGAACCTGTTATTTAAATAAATTTGTCCTGATGTAGACACTTGAAATAGCAGGAAGTTGAGCTCATGGTGGAGGTACAGGGTATGCCTGTCTGTCCCCTTTATCTCCTGCTTGTGTTCCTTCTCAGGAGACTCCCAGGTGCCCGAGGCCGAGGGCTCTGCAGCATCTATGAGCCTAAAGCTGGGAGGAGTGGGCGGGTTTTGGTGTCGCATTCTACGTCTGCCGCTTGGAAGCGGTGTGGCTTCACTGCCTTCCTCTCTGACCTCTGGTCTGCAAAGTGGGATAACAGTCCCTGCCTCCAGGGTTGCTGTGGGAATTCAGTGAGATGACATTTGTGAGGGACACGGCACAGGTCCAGGCTTGCCGGGGAGGCCCGTCTACCCTAGCGCATCCTTGTTTTCAGTAGTGGTGGCAGGAGGAGGAGGAGTGGCTGCGTGGTGGTGGTGGCGCTTCCATCCAGGGTGTGGCGCCTGTCTCTGAGAAGTGCTTTGTCTGCTGTAAAGTTACACACATTTACAAAATCTTACATGTGCTTGCTAGAAGTAAACTCAAATAATATATCGCCAGCACTGCACAGAGAAGGAGAGGGAGCTAGCTCCAGTATCTTTCTGGAATGCAATGGGTCTGTCTTTGCTTTTTTTTTTTAGACACTGTCAACAAAGTCTTTTTATTTTTTAAATTTTTAAATTGAAGTATAGTTGATTTATAATGTTACATTAATTTCAGGTAGTACTTTTTTTTTTTTAAATAGAGTAAAATGTTACTGAACTAAAGCAATTGGACTCCGGGTTTTCGCTTTGCAGCAAGCGTATGGACTTTTCTTACACCATCACAGACCAGTTTGTTTCTGGGCTGCCCTCTTTGAGCGTTTATCCACAGTGCTGGAGACCTCAGGCTGCTGTAGCTTTCTGTGCATAAAACAGCTGCCCGTTAGCAAGCCCGAGGTCCGGAAGTGACGGCACATCCTGGCAGAACAGAACCACTTTCAGTGGCCAGGATGATCCTTGAGTTGAAATTCCAAATGGAGGACATTTCTGGCTCTTTTCTAACTTGTTCAAATTAGCCACAATTTAAGTGTCACCTTTCCTGTCTTTGCCACACTTTCTGTGTGTCCCATGATGATGACCGGCCTCTGTGTGCTGGCAGTTCTCACTAGGTCATGAGCCCTTGAGAGCAGGGCCAGTGTCTCCCACCCTGTCAGTGCAATGCCCAGCACAAGACAAGTTCCCTGGAAGGTCTGAGGAATGAATGAGTCCATAGGGGTCATCAGATTCTGGAACCACGGCTTTTTTATTCCCGAGAAATTGTTCAGAGTGGAATCCCTCGCCATGCTTCTGTAACTTGGTCACCTGTTTCATAGGGGTACTTAGATGATATCTTCACCCACTGCTAGTTGCAGACTTGAGAACCATCCTGTTGCTTTGGGGGCCAAGGCACCTGCCACAGAGACGTAGACCAAGGCCAGGTTCACCCAGAGCTGTGAGCTGGGCTCTGAGCGTCAGCCCCAGGGCTGCTCCTGCCCCCCATACCATGACCCCAGCCTCCTGCTGCCACCTCCCTTCTTTCAAAGAGTCTTGTGTTGCTTTGAAGGCCGTTTCCATCAGAGCAAACAAACCCAAGGGCTGGACTTTTACCATCATTGCGGCGTGCGTCTCTCCCTCTCCTCCTCTGCCAAGGACTCTTTTAACCACCATTCTTTTTAAGTTTGCCGTGTCAGTTTGGGTTTTCATCTCCAACTAGGGAACTGAGGTTTTGAAAAAGAAATAAATGAGTCCTTGGAGTGCACCCTTCTCCCAGCACCCTTTCCCACTGCCTGCGTCCTTCCGACAATCTTCAAAGGCATTGAGAAATGAGGGGCCCTGATAAACTCTAAGATAAAATTGCTTTCAGACGATCAGAGATTAAAAGGAAAAAAATCAAACAGCAAGGGCTCATGAGAGATCACTGTAAACTCCTTCAAAGTCCCTCTGAACGCCTCCACCAGCTCCGACGATGAGGACGTGGGGGGCGGCCGGCGGGGTGGCAGGCCTCCTCCACGATGCATGCTGGGCCCAGGGCATCTCTCCAAACGGCATGTGAACACGCGTGTGCAGGTGCTGCGAGTGATGGAGTGACCAGGAAGGTCAAGGGCATAGGAGGACGGTGACAGGAGTACACTGAGAAGCCTGGAGCCCGAGATGTATCTGGGGCAGAAACTGGTAGCGTTGTCTGGGCAGAAAGCTCGGGAGAGTTGCACAAGAGCTGCCGGACCCCTTGGGCATCTAAGCTTAGCAGGCCTTGCATGGAACCCAAATGCTTGGTGGGAAGTGCGTCTAGACTGTTTGGTTGTCCAGAGGGATTATGGTTTTGTTTCATTTTTGTTTTTAAATATAAAGTACCCAGCCTCAGGAGACATTCTGTAATGGCAGGAACTAATCCACAAAGAAATTTGGAAGAATGCTCACTCAGATCCACCTTTTGGAGATTCCAGAGTGCGTTAACCCACCAGGAGGTCTGGTACCTGAGGCTGAGCTGCATTAATAACAATGTTGAAACCACGAAAGCAACGTCACTCAGATTTATTGAGCTCTCACTGTAGTCTGGCCTCTTTTTAAGCATGTGATGTGTGTGTTTTCCTTTAATAAACATTTTTTAGAGCAGTTTTACATTCACTGCAAAATTGAGCAGAAAGTACAGAGATTTCCCCACGTGTACCCTGTCCCCATGCATGCACAAGCTCCCCAACCACCGATACTCCCAGACCTTAGTGCTACCTTTGCTACAGTTGACAAGCCTGCGCTGACACATGAGTAACACTCACAAGCCCATGGTTTACATCAGGGTCCACTCCTAGTGCTGCCCGTGTTTGGGCTTTGGACAAATGGATAATGGTGCATAGCCATCATCATAGCATCATACAGAGCAGTTTCACTGCCCTGCAAATCCTCCACCTATTCATCCCTCTCTCCCCCGACTCTGGCGACCACAGATCTTTTTACGGTCTCCGTCATTCTGCCATTTTTCAGAATGTCTTATAGTTGGAATCATAAATACATAGCCTTTTCAGATTGGCTTTTTTCTCTTAGTGATATGCATTTAATCTTCCTCCACATCTTTTCATGGCTTGAGAGCTCATTTTTTTTTAGCGCTGAATAACATTCCATTGCTTGGAGGTATCACAGTTTATCCCTTCACATCCTGAAGGACATCTTGGTTTCTTCTAAGTTTTGCCAGTTACGAATAAAGCTGCTTCATCTGTGTGCTGGTTTTTGTGTGGACATAAGTTTTTAGTTCATTTGGGTAAATGCTGAGGAGTGTGATTGCTAGATTATATGGTATAAGTATTTTCGTTTTGAGAGAAACTGCCAAACTGTCTTCCAGAATGTCTGTACCGTTTTCATTCCCACCAGGCAGTGAGAGTTCCCATTGCTTCACATCCTCACCAGCATTTGGTGTTGTCAGTGTTTTGGATTTAGGCCATTCTGGTAGGTGTCTGGTGGCATCTCGTTGTTTTGATTTGCATTTCTCTGATGGCATATGACATGGAACATCTTCATATGCTTTCTTGCCATTTGTATATCCTCTTTGGTGGGATGTCTCTTCAGGTCTTTGGCCTATTTTTTTATTGACGTATAGTCAGTTACAATGTGTCAATTTCTGGTGTATAGCATAACGTTTCAGTCGTACATACACATACATATATTTGCTTTCATATTTTCTTTATAGGTTACTACAAGATATTGACTGTAGTTCTCTGTGCTACAGAGGAAATTTATTTTTTATTTATTTTATATATAGTAGTTAATATTTGCAAATTTCAAACTCCTGATTTATCCCTTCCCACTTCCTCTCCCCCTGGTGACCACAAGTTTGTTAACTATGTCTGTGAGTCTGTTTCTTTTTTGTGGCTTTTTTTTTGATGGAGTTGTTTTCTAATTGCCAATTTTTAAGAGATTTTTGTGTGTGGGTGTGTGGGTGTGTATTTTGGAAAACAGTTCTTTATCAGACATCTCTTTTTCAAATTCTTTTTTTCAGTCTGTGGCTTATTTTTCATTCTCTTGACAGTGTATTGTGTAGAGCAGAAATTTTTAATTTTAGTGGAGTCCAGTTTATCAATTTTTCTCCTCAGATAATGCCTTCAGTGTTACATGTAAAAAATCATTACCGTACCCTAGGTCATCCAGGTTTTCTCCTTATGTTCTAGGAGTTTTATAGTTCTGCGTTTTGCATTTATATCAGTGATCCATTATGAGTTAATATTTGTGAAGGGGTGTGAGGTCTTTGTCTACATTCTTTTTTTTTGCATGTGGCTGTCCAGTTGCTTCAGCATCATTTATTGAGATGACTGTCTTTGAGCCATTGTGTAGCATTTGCTCCTGTGTCAAGGATCAATGGACTGTATTTAACAGAGTCTATTTCTGGACTGTATTCTGTTCCATTTGGTCTGTTTTTTCTGTTACTTCACCAGTACCACACTGTCTTCATCACTGTAGCTTTACAGTAAGTCTGGAAGTTGAGTAGTGTCAGTCCTCCAACCTTGTTCTCCTCTGATATTTTGTGTTGGTTTCTGGGTCTTTTGCCTCTCCATATAAACTTTATAATCAATTTGTCAATACCCACAAAATAGCTTGCTGAGATTTTGATTGGGATTGTAGGTCAAGTCGTGAAGCACTGACGTCTTGACAATACTGAGTCTTCTTACCCATGAACGTGGGATAGCTCCCCATTGATTTAGTTCTTTAGTTCCATTCATCAATTTTGAAGGTTTCCTCATATAGGTTTTGTACATGTTTTGTTAGATTTATACCTAATCATTTCATTTTTTTATGTGCAGATGTAAATAGTATTGTGTTTTAAATTTCAAATTCCACTTATTCATATGCTAGAATATTGGAAAGCAGTTGACTTTTGTATATTAACCTTACTATCCTGTAACTTGCCATAATCACTTATTAGTTTTGCAAGGATTTTTGTCTGTTCTTTCAGAATTCCTACATAGATAAGCATGTCATCTGGAAACAAAGACAGTTTTAATCTCTTCCTTCCCAATCTCTATGTCTTGTGTTTTCTTTTCTTGCCTTACTGCATTAGCTCGGACTTCTAGTATGATGTTAAAAAGGAGTGCTAAGAGTGGACATCCTTGCTTTGTGTTTAATCTTAGTGGGAAAGTTACTGATTTCTCATCATTGTGATGTAAGCTGTAGGTTGCTTTTAGATATTCCTTATCAACTTGAGGAATTTCCCCTCTAGTGCTAGTTTAATGAGCATGTTTATCATGAATAGATATTGGATGTTGCCAAATTCTTTTTCTGCCTATGATGATATTATCCCATGATTCTTATTTCTTAGCTTGTTGATGTGATGGATATATTAACTGATTTTGGAATATTGAATCAGCCTCGTGTACCTGGGATACATGCCACTTGGTTTGTGGTGTATAGTTATTTTTAAACATTATTGGGTTTTCTGTGCCAATATTTTGTTGAGGATTTTTGCATCTATGTTCACAAGAGATATAGACCTATAATTTTCTTTCCTTGTAATGTCTTTGTTTTTGGTGTTAGGGTAATGCTGGCCAAACAGAATGAGTTAGGAAGTATTTTCTCTGCTTCTGTGTTCTAAAAGAGACTGCAGAGAATCGTGTGATTTCTTCCTTCAATATTTGGTAGATTTTGCTGGTGAAGCCATCTGGGGCTGGGCTTTTTATTTTTTTGGAAGGTTACTAATTGTTGATTCAATTTTTTTCTAATAGAGACAGCCTATTCTGCCTATTCTTGTATGAGTTGTGGCAGATTGTGTCTCTTAAGCAATTGGCCTGTTTCACCTGGGTTGTCAAATGTGGGGGCATAGAGTTGTTCATAGTACTCCTTTTACTATACTTTTGATGTCCATGGGATCTGTACTATGTCCCCTCTTTCATTTCTGATATTAGTAATCTGTATCCTCTTTTTTTCTTGGTTAGCCTGGCTACAGGCTTAACGATTTTATTGATCTTGTCAAAGGACCAGCTTTTGGTTTTATTGATTTTTCTATATTGATCTCCTGCTTTCAACTTCCTTGATTTCTGCTCTGATTTGTATTCATTTTCCTATGCTTATTTTAGATTTAATTTACACTTTCGGCTTTCCTAGGGGGAAGCTTAAATAATTGATTTTAGATCTCTTTTCTAATACACACAGTGGATGCTGTAAATTTCCCTCTAAGCGTAGCTTTCACTGCTTCCTACAGATTTCAATAAGTTGTATTTTCATTTTTATTTAGTTCAGAACATTTTAAAAGTTTCCTTGAGGATTCTTTTCTGAATCATACGTTACTTGAAGTGCGTTGTTTAATCTGCAATTATTTTGGGGCATTCCAGCTATATACGACTGATCTCTAGTTTAATCCATTGTGGTCTGCAAGCAGACCTTGTATGATTTCTAATGATTTCTATTCTTTTCAATTTGTTAAGGGGTATTTTATGGCCCAGAATGTGATCTGTTCTGGTGAAGATTCTGTGTGAACTTGAGAAGGATGCATATTTTGCTGCCGCTGGATGAAGCAGTCTGTAGATGTCAGCTGTACGCAGCTGATTGGTGGTGGTGTTGAATTCAGCTATGTCCTTACTGACTTTTTTACCTACTGGATCTGTCCATTTCTGAACGAGGGGTGTAAGAGTCTCCAGCTATAATAGTGGATTCATCTGTTTCTTCTTGGAGTTCTATGACCTTCTGCCTCATGCATTTTGACCCTCTGTTGTCAGACGCATCCGTGTGCAGGGTTATTATATCTTCTTGGAGATTTGATGCCTTCATCATGTTATGCTCCTTTTCAACACTGATGATTATCTTTGTCTTGAAGTCTGTTCTGTTTGAAATTACTAAGCTACTCCTGCTTTTTAAAATTAATATTAGCGTAGTATATCTTTCTTCATCCATTTCCTTTCAATCTGTATTTGTCTTTATATTTAAAGCGAGATTCTCGTAGCCAACATATGGTTGAATCTTGTTTCTTGGTCCATTCTGACAATTTCTGTCATTTAGATCATTGATGTCCAAAGCAATTATTGGTGTGGCTGGACTAATATTTATCACATTCATTACTGTTTTCTATTTGTTGCCCTTGTTCTTTGTTACTTTTTTCCGTCTTCTGCTCTTTTTCTGTCTTTTGTAGGTTTAATTGAGCATCTTACATAATTCCATTTTCTCTCTTTTCTTCGCAGATTGCTTATACTTATTATTGTTGTTATTATTACTATTTTTTTACTTTTTTAAATGGTTACCCTAGAATTTGCAATGTACATCTACAAGTAATCCAAGTCCACTTTCACATAGCACTGTTCTGCTCTATGGATAGTGTGAGTACCCTAAAACAATTAAAATTCTAATTTTTCTTGGTACCTTTTGTATCATTGCTGATAGTTATTGCACACATACAGAAGCATGCATGTATATGTGTAAACATACAGTATTGAATACATTGTTGCTATAGTTAATTTTGACAAACTTTAGTGAGATCAAATAGGATTTAGAAAAATACCTTCACTTATTCCTTCTCCAATGCTCTTCCTTTATATAGATTGAGTTTCTGACTTTATCATTTTCCTTCTCTCTAAACAACTTGTTTTAACATTTCTTGTAAACCAAGTCTACTGACAACAACTTTATTTGATTTTTGTCTGAGAAGGTCTTTATTTCTCCTTTACTTTGGAAAGATAATTTTGTAGGGTGCAGAATCCTAGGTTTGGTGGTTTTTTTCTTCTATACTTTAAATATTTCACTCCACTCTCTTTGCTTGTGTGGATTCTGAGACATTGGATATAATTCTTGTCTTTTCCCTTCTGTCAGTAAGGTGTTTTTCCCTCTGGCATCTTCTGTGTTTTTTCTTTACCCTTGGTCTTCTGTAGTTTGAAATTAATAGGTGTAGTTTACTTGGTACTTATCCTTGGTATTCTCTGAGCTTTCTGGATTTGTGCTTTGGTGTCTGATATTAATTTAGGGAAATTCTTAGTCATAATTGTTTAAAGTATTTCTTCTGTTCCTTTGTCTTTTTTTTCTCTTTCTGATATTCCTGTTATGCATATGCTACACATTTGTGGTTGTCTCATATTCTTTGTTTTTATCAGTCTTTTTTTTTTTTCCTATTTGCTTTTCAGTTTTGGAGGTTTCCACTGAGGTGCCTCAAACTCAGAGATTCTTTCCTCAGCTGGGTCCAGACTACTAATAAGTCCATCAAAGGCATTTTTCTATTTTTGTATTTTTGATCTCTAGAATTTATTTGTTGATTGTTTCTGAAAATGTTCATCTCTTTGCTTTGCTTACATTGTCCAGCTCTTCTTTTATGTGTCTACTTTATCCATTAGAGCCCTTTGCATATTCATCATAGCTGTTTTAAATTTCCGCCCTGACACTCACGACATCCCCGCCGTGTCTGAGTCCTGTCCCGATGCTTTCTCTGCCTTCAGACTATGTTTTTGCCATTTGGTATGCCTTGTAAGTTTTCTTGATAGCTGGAGAGATGTCCTGGGTAAAGGAGCTGCTGTACATAGGCCCTCTGTGGTGTGTCAGTAAGGTGTTGGGAGGGGAAGCGCAAGGTCGTCCTGAGGTTAGGTCTCAGGCTTTGGTGAGCCTGTGCCCCGGACGTGAACTTCACCAGTGCATTTGTCCTCCCCACTTAGGTGGGAAAAGATGACTGAAGTGGGCTGGGTTTGGGTGCTTCCTTTCTTCCATGAAGACGTGGCCTTCTCCCGCTTGCAGGCCTCTGTCCAAGTCTCCCCTTTTCGTAAGGACACTAATCATGTTGGATTAGGGCCTGTGACCTCATCTCAACTGATTACATCTGTAATGGCCATATTTCCAGATAAAGTCACATTCTGTGGACTTCAGCATATGAATTTGTGGGGAACAGACTAACCCGTCACACCCACCCTCTGAAAAATCATCACATGACATACACAGCCTTAACGTGGGCTCGGGGAGGAACGTGGGTGGGCGATGGCTTGGCATCTACAGAAGCTTCTCCACAGTGCGAGCATCGCGCGGCAGGAAATGGGGCTGCTGAGGCCAGCAGCGGCGCAGGGGGACCTCTTACCTGCAGCCTGGGTGGGACGGGGCCTTGGCGTGGTCGGAGGAGCCGGGGTCGGCATCCACACTCGGGTTCTGACGCTGGCTCTTCCTCGCAGACCTGGGGTTCATTGCCCTTGGCCTTGGTTTCTTAATCTGTAACAACATAATAACGAGAGTGAGTCTCAGTAAAGCAACTTACACGCACACCACGCACCGAGCACTGGAGGGCAGAAGACACGGGGGGTCTGCACTGGTCTGTGCGCTGGACCTCGAGGCCGAGCCCTGCCCTCTCCTGGCTGGGCCACCTCCACAGGACCGTCATCTCTATGCCCCGTACCTCCCTCCTGAAAGGGAGGTGAGGCCATTGCCCTGCTGCCCTCGAGTTCCCTGGGCTGTGCGGGGCCAGGTGCCGGCTGCAGGCCAGGTGCTGGGACAGGTGCGGTGCGCATCTGGCTTTGACGGTGGTGGTGGTGGTGGTGGTGATGGTGATTTTTCCACAGAGCCTAGTTTAAACAGGACAGTCCATTGATTATACTCTCTTTTTGTTAAGGACAAAAGGAGTTATTCTTGTCCTGTGTGTGAAAAGTCTTTTTCAGAAGATCGACTGATAAAGTCACATATCAAGACCAACCATCCCGGTAAGGGTATGCACTTTAGAGTGGGAGATTGATTTTCAAATGCTTATGTTTTTTTAAAAAATGCAACATTATATTATCAACCGTATTAAATGAAAGTAAAAGAGGGATGAAGATATGAGTAAATTCAAGGGAAACAGTCGTCTTTATTTAAAGCCTGGGAGGTTATGTAAGTTTTTGTTCATTTTATCCTCTTATCTGGTCTTTGGGTACGTCTCCCCCCATCTCACAGTTCCCCTCCCCCTTTTAGTATTAGCAGTGACAGCCTCTGGATGGGTCCTTATCCAGTGCGGACCCGACCGACTCCACTTCCCATGCCGCCCCCAGCCGTCTCGTAGGTCCCCGAACTGAGGGGTGTGCGCTCCCTCCCAGGCCAAGGAGCCCGGTCAGTGGGAGTGACTGTCACTTTCATTGTCCTCGGCCCCTGAGCTCCCTGGGTGTCACCCCTGTCACTTTCATTCTCACCACAGTGACACTATTTCTTGGTTTTGCCCAGTTAATTTCTGTGCATCCTCTACATCTTCCCTCAGAGCCTGCCCTGGGGGCCTTTGATGGCTCCCCCGACCCCCCGCCACCCATCCCAGTGCACTTACCCCATATTCTAGTCCCTGGTACTCTCTGCCCACCTGGGAGCCTCGGGGCAGGGCTGCCACCGTTAACACCTCATCCCCAGAGTGCCGTGCCACGTGGCACAGGGCCCGCGAGCGCAGACACGCTGCTTGTGGATGAGAGAGAAGCAGAGCAGCTAAGGCACTTCTCCTTTCGCCCGCGCCCCTCTTCTCTTCCTCTTTGTTTTCTCTCTGCTTCTCCCGCGAGGGAACCGACCCACTGATTAATCATGATCGTGGAGAAAAGTAAAGAAATGATGGAAGGACACTAACACTCATATTTTATTTGGAGTCGGACAGAGCCTTGAGGCCTTCACCTGCATGGGGATGTGTGGGTTACGTGATGCTCTGAACTGCTCAGTTCTGTCCTCCCCGTGTGACCCGTGTCCAGTGTGACTCGTGTCCAAGTGTGAGCCAAGGATGCTCATTTAGCTCCATCAACTTTTGCTCATTATTTTAAACTTACTATAGAAAATTTCAAATGTATGCAGAATACACAACATGAGGAACAGCCATGTATCCATAACTCAGCTCCCACTCTTACCTACATGTGGTCAAACTTGTTTCATGAATTGACCCCCCTGATGGTTTTTTTTTCTGAAATACTCTGAAGTATGTCCTGACATAATTTCCCCATAAAGAATCTTTAGAATGCATCTCCAACTAATAAGGAATTTTTTAAACGTAACGACCACATCACCCTTAAGACAGTGTTAACAGTAGGTTCAGCTCGTATACGTCCTTTTAAAATGTCCCCATTGACACAAGATTTTCTCTTTTACAGTTGGATTGTTTGGATCGGGTTGTTATGTCACCGCAGTTTCTGGTGTTACATGGGACAGCCCACCCCCCGCTCTCTTCCCCAGGAGGCTGATCTGTTGGGAAGTTGGGGCTCTTCCTGCAGGTGGTCATGTTTTGCCTTTTTCTGAACGTTGCCTCGTTGACACTGTTTCTCCATCCCTCACATTTTATGTCAACGGACATTTAGATCTGAGACTGGATTAGATCCTGGTTTAACACTTTAGGCAGAAGTCCTGTCCCATGACGCACGAGGCGCATCTTAACCGTTGTCTCAGACCCGCTAGGACTGGCCGGAGGGTCTGGGTTCTGTCATGAGGCTCCTTTGCATCTAACCTGAACCAAGGTTCTTCGGCTGCTTCTGGTTATCACCCTGCCTTTCTTCTAGAGGTTTCCATGAGCACCATTTCCGAGGTTCTCGGGAGGAGGGTCCAGCTGAAAGGGCTGATTGGGAAGCGAGCCATGAAGTGCCCGTATTGTGATTTCTATTTCATGAAGAATGGCTCAGACCTTCAGCGTCACATCTGGGCTCATGAAGGTGAGTACTCCTCCGTCAAAATGGAGCGCTTTCTGGGATCTGGTGCTTCCTCTGGGGGTCCTGCAGGAGGAAGTGTATCTCCTTGGCCTCTGCAGTTAGAATTTCCTTAGCACACTGAGAGAAGTGTCTGTCCGCCAGCTGAAATCAGTGATTTAAGTCATTACTCATTTAGTTGCAATTGCAGTGAGCAGAGGTATGCAGCCATTTGTGGCTCTTGCCGGAGCTGTAGTTAAATAAATCACCACGATGTCTCTGCAGGGAGCCAGCTGCAGGAGGACAGGACCTCGCTGGCACTGCCCGGGCGGTCACTCTGGTGGCCTCCCCGGTGCTTTGTGGGATTCTGTTGTTCAGGTTGTGGAGAAAGAATTCAGAAGGTGGAGAGTTACGTGGAGATGAAGCAGGGGGAGGAGGGACGTAAGCTGTGCCTTTGGGGTGCTCGCCTGTGAAGGGAGGTGTGGGGCACACTCCGGGACTTTGGGAAGTTGGAGGTCAGGATGCTACTGGGGACAGTGGGCCACCGACTGTGTTTCTCCCCCCGACGTGGCTCTCCTGGTGATCAGGCTCGGAGCCGTGACCCAGGGACAGCCCCTCCAGAGGTCCGAGTGGGTCCCTTCCTGTGAATTAGGAGCCCAGGTGCCGCAGGCAGGGAGACAAGCTGGCTCCCACGGGGGAAGGAGTGTGTATTTTCTACAACATGGGATCGAACTAGCAGTTCGGGAGCTGATGGAGTAGGAATGTGGACCAGCAGAAGGAGCCGAGACCAAAGGCAAGACTGGGGATACTTTTTCCTTGACCAGCATGTCTGTGCCTCGGCTCTGTGCCCTGGGTGCACCCTGCAGCCCTGTTAAAGCCTCGGCTTCCTCAGCTATAAGGCCTTGGGTGGTGGGGATCAGGGCGGAAACACGAGGCTCACTAGATCATGTCTGTTATGCCCCGCGTTCAGACACCGCTCCCCTCCCCCGGCAGCATGTCACACTGCGGGGACAGCCCTTTATATTGGACAGTGCAGCCGGGCCAGGGCGGCTCAGCTTCAAACCAACCTCGGTGTTTACTGCAAAGTAGGTCCTCGGGAGATGTCCGTGGAGTGAAGGAGCAGCCACGTGGTAGGATGCCCCGCCGTGAGCCGTTAGCCCAACAGCAGTGACGAGCGTTGTCAAGCTCTGCTTGTTTTATCAACTAAAACCTGCTCTCACCTCTGGTCCTGCACGCCTGACCCCGGGGACTTTTGTCACGGCCCTCGGTCACTTTAATTTCGGTCCATTTAACTCAGTTCAGTTGAATTTAATGAACGTCTGCTGCTCCAACTGCTCGGGGGTCTGTGCCCTCAGATTCCAGACTGCAGGGAGGGGAGGTGTAAGCTGCTCACTGTTAAGTGCTGTGAACAGTGCAGCGGTAGAGGCAGGCAGGGTTTGGGTGCACTGATAGGGACGCAGAGAATTTCACTGGAGGCCCAGGAGGAGAGGGCGTCCTAGTTGGAAAGAAGAGCACAGGTAGGTGCGTGGCGTGGGGACCAGCAGGTGCACTGCTTTATTCAGATGGACATGGAGAGGGGTGTGTGTGTGTGCACATGTGTACGTATATATTCCTTCAGATACACACATGCGCGCGCACACACACATATAACTGAATATATACGTATATCTGTCTTTTTCTCCCTCAATAGGGGTGAAGCCCTTCAAATGTTCTTTGTGTGAGTATGCGACTCGTAGCAAGAGTAACCTCAAGGCTCATATGAATCGTCACAGCACCGAGAAGACCCACCTATGTGACATGTGTGGCAAGAAATTCAAATCAAAAGGGACGCTGAAAAGTCACAAGCTCCTTCACACTGCTGACGGTGAGTGAGTGGCTCCGCAGTGAAGTTTCTTCCTCTAAAAGTGTGGTTTGCTGCTGACATCCCAAGTCCAGCAGAAATGGTGGCTGTGCCTGGAGGCAGGAAAGGACACATGGCTTTTGGAATTTCCATTCCGGAGGAGAGCAGAGGGGCTTCGCCTGCTCCCTCACTGCCCCGCGCTCGGTGCTGGAGCCCTGCCTGACCCCTGACCCCCACCAGGGCTTGCTAAACACTTGCTGCGTGCGTGCAGATATGTGTGTGCGCTTGTGGATATGTGTGTGCCCTTGTGGGACGCTGCTTCAGGGAGTAAGGCAGCCTCGGGCTCCAGAGGCCTTGACCTGGGAGTCCCGGCCCTGTTCAGCCGTCCACCCCAACCCGAGCCTGACGGCCCTGCAGGGCAGCTGCGCTCACACCTGGCCCGATGTTTCAGGTGGACGCCCTCATCCAAGCTACCTCCAGGTTGTTCCACATTTAGTCCAAAATGGGACTCAGTCGAAAACGCAAACAGCTTTTGGGCAGGTGCGCCCCTGATCAAGCACACTGAGGTGGATTTCCAGCGTGGTTCCTTCGTGAGAACCATTGATGGAGTTCTTACCACCAGCCGTGCCTGGGGGTACAGGGTCAGTAAGAGCAGCTCCTGCCTTCACGGGGTTTCCAGTCCCGTGGGGAGCAGGCTGGGGTGGGCAGGTGGGTGCTGTGGTGGGAGGTGCTGGGAGCTCTGGGCAGGAGCGGGGTGGTCACTGGGAAAGTCACCCCCAGAAGGGCCGGATAGAGGACAGAAAGGCAGAACTGCACAATGGTTTTACGAAGACAGGCAGCTAAACCATAAAAGACCTTTAACATTTAAGATTTTCCTTTAAAACTCCAGTTGTGTGAGGGTCTTGTCAGTATTCCATGTAATGAGATTAATAAACTATACTTACCGATACTGTTATTTCAGCACAGTTATGTATGAAAATTGGAGTTCACTATAAAAATTGAAGTGATCTCAACAAAGATGTTTGAGTTCAGCATGTGGAGGGCAGTCTAGCCATCTGCCTTTGTTTTGAGGTTGTTCTGGGGGACCCCACTGTATGTGCAGTCAGTTGAGCTTAAGAGGCTCAGTGGAGAAACCAAACGCTTAGCTGGAAATTTGTCCCAATTAAGAACCAGGACTTGTCTACAGCTGAGCAAAAGCCAGAGCCATGCTGTTCACACTTACGCAGTGTCCTGTAAGTTAAAAAATCCGTAATCAAAATAATTAAAAACACAGTGACAGTGAAGCAGTCCTGTCCTGAATAATGAAAGCAGTAGTTGTGTAATTATTCATGAATTCTCCCATCTCCGCGAGCAACAAGCCTCACTGATATTTCTTGACTGGGTAGCACATTATTCACTGAAATCCCTAATAATACAGTGCTGGTTACAAAAAGCGGCTGTCCCCAGAGCCAGGGAGGTCTGGAGTGTCCCCTGGGCCATATGGGCAGGGTCTGGAGGGCCTGGGAAGGGCGCTGTGGCCTCAGGCCGGCTCTGAGGTCTGGGCTCGGCCCTGAAGGGCTTTGAGGAGGTGGGACATGCGTCTAGTGAGGGACGGTGGGCAGGCCGTGGTGGGTGGTGGAGGGGTGGGTCGGGGTGAGTGCCGGTATCACCGCGGGCATCACAGTGACACTCAGCCTGTCCCGCCTGTCACTCCATTTGCTTCCCTGAGCTCTTCAGCAGGAAAGGGAAATTCAGGTGGACAAAAATGCATGGTAGTCAAAGCAGTAATACAGCCTTCCTGGAAAAGGAAGGCCCCACAGGCATGTGAAATATTTTCTAACACAGCAGGAAATTTGCATCTCTTCTCTTCATTTTTTTTTTCCGTGGCACTTTTGGGAGGATGAGGTGTTTGTAAAGTCACGTCTTGTTTTCAGGCACCCACCAGTCTGGGAAGAGGGGCATTGGTCATCAGGGTGGCGAGGAGAGCAGTGGGAAGGGGCTGCCTCGGTGGGCTGGCTCTCCTTCTTCCCTTCTTGGACCGTAGTTTTGTTATCCTGAAAAATAAGGACCTGAGACCTGAACATTTCTTGGTCTCTGTAGTCTTGATGCTCTGTGATTCTAGGAGGCAAGTGCCATGCGGACCACAGACCTGGAAACAGGAGATGCAGTATCGTTGGATCTGGTCCAGCTCTGAGGTGCCGGCTTCTTCCGTGGGGCCACCAGGGCTCCTTGCGTGTCTCTTTTGACACTTGCCGTGTCTCGTGTTTTCTCAAGGGCCAGCTTGGTACGTGGAGTCCTGGCTAGCAGACCGGCTGTTCTGACTCCACTGATGACCTGTTCTGTAACTTTAATTAAACTATGGGCAATTCTTTTCCTTTTTAATTTTAAAAAAGCTTTGAAAAAAGTTTAGTTACATCTCCTACCCTGTTTTTGTAGTCCTCATATTTTATTTTGCTGATTTCTGAAAGCTCTTTTTATCTCGGTGTGTCATGTCGTGCAAATATTCTCTCCAAATTATCCCCAGCTTTTCGGTTTTAAGGTATCTTTTTATATAGGTTTTATATAAAAGTTAAATAACTTAGCGTATTCAAATGTATCAGCAGTTTTCTTTATGTTTTTTCCTCCATAGTTTCTCTGTGTTGAAAGAAACCTTTCCCATCTTAAGGGAAAATTCTTTTGTATTTTCTTCAAGTTCTGTTTCAGGGGTTTATGACATTTATGAACTGCAACGTCCTTGACGTTTATTTTGGTGTGAGGCCTGTGGCAGGGATCTTTGTTTCTAAACAGTTACCAGTTGACTCAGCATATTTATCGAAAAATCAGTCCTTTCCGTTTTGTTTTGAAATGCCAGAATTTCTCAGGATGTTGGGTACATTCTGAGATTTTGGTTTGTTACAGTGATATTTGTTCTCATACATGGTTTTGTAAGATACTGTTTTAATAACTCTAATATTGTATGTTCAGATATTCCTTTTTCTTCTTTTCCCTTTTTATGGACATCTAGTTTCTTCTCATTTAATGGCTATTTCACTGGATGAACTGGATGGCTGCGTGAGCCGTCTGACAGCACCTGAAACGTGCTTTAAGTTCCTCGGGGAGGTGTGTGCGCCTCGATGAGGCTCTCAGCCTGTAACCATAAAGTTCGCTCTTTGCTTAGAAGCAAGCATGGCTTTCAAGCCTGCCTGAAATTCTTGGGTTTTCAGCGCAGCTGCTGCCTGGGCAGTAACTCAGTAGGTTGTGTGTGTCACAGAGAAGCTACGTGGAAGAGGTGGCGCTCGGGAAGCTTGAGTCGCCGCCTGGTAGGATGACCTCAGTTCAATGGCTTCTCCGAGCCTCAGTTTCCCCCTCAGTAGAATGCTCGGATCTAGAATGAGTGGCTGCTCCATTCATGGCCTTCAGGTCTTTGCTCAGGAAAGCCCTCCCTGGCCCCTGTGTGTGTATAGAATCTCAACACCCCACCAAACCATCCACACTCCCTGGTGTTTCTTACGCTTTTCTTCTTGGCTCATCTTTCCCTCGTGCACCGTGTAGTTTCCGTCTCTGCCACTGCGACTCTTCCAGCAACCGCTTCTCATCTTTTCCACGTATCTTACTATTTCTTCTGTCTTTCTCTAATAATATATATATATATATATATATATATATATATCTTTCCATGATCTTCTATGTCTTCCACTAGACTGTAAGCTCCAAGCAAGGAATTTTTACTTACTGTATTGGTTTTGTTTTGTATCCCCAGCACCTAAAACAGTGCCGGACTGATAGTAGGTGCTCAGTAAATTTTTGTTGATTGAATGAGTGGGGGGAGAAAAGGTACAGTGCCTTACACAAAGTGGATGGCATACAGTAGCACTTAACAAGGGCCAGTTATTTCCCCATATCATCTCCCTGATGGTTCTGTTAAATCAGATGCTTGTGAATTAGGTATTTTAAATACGGTAAAGGAACTCACTATTAAATGAATCTTCTTGGGTATCTTTTAATGAAGTAAAAAGGAGTTGAGTAATTACTCTCTCCTCTACCTGCTTGCAGATCTGATTTTTCACATGCTTTGGCTTCCATAAAGTGATCTGTCCCTGTTTATTCCTTCCTATTTCCCAAAGGAGCTCATTACTGTGCCTTGGAAAAGACAGACCAGAATGGGTGAAGGTTTCTGTTAAAAAGGTTTGCCAGTCAATACGTACAAAGAGAGATATTGATCCATAAGGGACCTGATTAAACCTTTCACATATGTGAGCCAACAGATGCAAGAACTTAATGCAAAAATTACGCTGGTAACACATTTCTCCCCTTTTGATATTAAAGAGGGCCTAGACATGATGTTTGGTCTAGAGGTTTATCCTTGATTCTGCCCACCCAGAGCAGATGGGGAAGGCTAAATGGTGCAGTGTTTTTATGTTATGTAATCAAACAAGAATTTCTCTACTCTTGAAGTAACAAGCTCTTTGAAGGCCGGTGCTAATTCCTTTGGGTCCCCCTCCCCCCCCAATTCCAGCCTGCCCTCCTACACTTGAGGTATGAAGTTTGCTGGTAAAATTTACAAAGAGGGATCATCCAAGCTTCAAGCACTCTTGTGTGTGTAACAGTTGGACAAGTGCAGAGCTGAACATGGAAATTAGGTCTGGCTGGAGGAAGTACCCCTCGTTCCCTTGCTTCTTCAATTTATAGTAAGAGATCCCAGGGCTCCACACTGAAGTATTCTAGGAGGTGCAAGTATGGAGTTTTTTTATCTCCTCTTTCTTCTGAAAAATACAGTCACTCTAGGATGAAGTAGCCCCACGTATCCATAATCTCTTTGCTTCCAAACACATACGTTGTAGAACCAGGAAGTTAAAAAACGATGGTACCTGAGCAACCAGGTGGTTGATCTTACCAACTTCATCTCCCAGGCTTCTGGGAGACTGGTCTCTCCGAAGCATCCTTGTCCCTCATACCCTTCCTCCAACTTACTCCTGGAGAAAAGGGAGAGGGACCAGGGTGGGAGGGAGGCAGCTGCAAGAACACAGTAGGTGTCTGTGGCTTATCTTTAGGGCTGGTGTCTGGGT